CTGCAAGAAGTCGGGCTGGACTGGGCATCCCAGCAGTGGCCTCTGATGGGGGAGGGGCTCTGAGGGGCCGTGCTAGTGACTGACACCAGGGAAAGAGCCCTGGAACAGAGAGGGTCAGGAGGCCCAGGTTTAGGCCCAGTGCCTCCGTGGCCCTTCTTGCTCTGCGTTTTGTGTGATGTGGACTCCATGTGTCCTCCTGGGAGATCCAGTAGGACCCCCAAGGGAAGGGTCATGGGGTGGCTGCAGTCAGAGCCCCAGTCCTGGCTGAACGCCCCCTCCCCTGCCTGCCCAAAGGTGCGAGGAAGAAGACGTGGAAATGAGCGAGGACGCCTACACAGTGCTGACCCGCATTGGGCTGGAGACTTCGCTGCGCTACGCCATCCAGCTCATCACGGCTGCCAGCCTGGTGTGCCGGAAACGCAAGGTCAGCAGGCCGAGTCCGCCCATAGGCGTCGGATGAGCAAGTGGCTGACTCGCTGTTCCCAGGGCTTTCCCTGGGTGGTTGTGATTAGTCCTAGACCTTAGGTTTTCAAAGGCAGGGGACTTTGGTCTCTCAGGTTGATTTCTGTACCACACAGAAGGTGCTGAGTAAATATCTATGGACTGCAAGTTGGTGCTGTTAAGTCCATTTCACAGATGAAGAAACTGAGGGGTGGAGAGGTGGGGCCCACAGCCAGGAGGTGGCCACAGTGGGAATTGAACCCAGAAGACCTGGCCCCAGAGTCCCTGCCCTGACACACCCCCCGAGAGGGGCCCCACTAAGGTCTCAGTGCCCCCCAGCAGGGCACGGAGGTGCAGGTGGACGACATCAAGCGGGTCTACTCGCTCTTTCTGGATGAGTCACGTTCTACGCAGTACATGAAGGAGTATCAGGATGCCTTCCTCTTCAACGAGCTCAGTGAGTGTCCCTGCTGTCCCCTACCCTGGGAGTGCCCGCCTGGGGGAGGGAACCTGGCCTGGAGAGCTCAGGCCCCGCCCTCTAGGCCACATTGACCCCTCTGGCCTTCTTTCTCCCCACAGAAGGTGAAACCATGGACACCTCCTGAGCTGATGTCACCCTCACCCCCACCTGCCCCATTTTCTACCAGAGTTCTGACACTGTGACTTTATATAAAATGGTTCTGAAACTGGACCCACCGTGTGTGTGTGTGTGTGTGTGTGTACACAGGTGTACAAGCCCCCAAAAAAGACAACCCCAGAGTGCAGTTTGAAAAGCCTTTATTGGGAGGGGAGGGAAGGGGAGAGGGGAGCATCTGCTGGCTCCAGGAGTTGGGGTGGGTGTGGGAAGTTGAGGTGGGGGATCTTTAGAGGAAGAGGAGGCCTGGGAGCAGGGGTCGGTCACAGGCCAAGGGTTGGGCTCTGGGACCCCCGCAGTCAGAGCTGCTGAGGCGGCAGGGCCCGCAGTGACAGCTGAGGGCCACGGGGAAGGAGACCATTGGGTCCACGCCAGCAGGGCAGCCAGGGAGCCGGACGGAGGCAAAGTGCAGCTCACGGTAGGTGCACACCGGCTGGGGCACAGGTGGCAGGGCAGCCGGCAGCACTCGTACCTGGAGGTGGTGGGGACATGGTTTGGGGGTCTGCCTGAGGCCAAGCCCTTCCCCAGACTCCCCCACCACACCCTGCAGATCCCTAACTCAGGTGTCCAGGGAACCCTGTGTGCTCTCCCTCCCATATGCCCAACTCTGACAATTCCCCAGCCCCTCGGGTAGGGAGTTTCAACAGGCCACCCTTCCGCCCCTGGTGCCACTTCCTGTCCTGCGGGCCTGGCCCTGAGTAATCCACCTGGAGCTGAGGTGGCAGCACCCTGGCCCACACCCACCCTGAGCAGCTCACCATGCTGGGGCAGTAACCCGCACAGATGCTGGTGGTGAAGGTGATGCAGACAGGGCAGGCCTCGTTCTCCGCAGCCAGGGTAGCATTGATGGGCCGGCACAGTGGCCGCAGTGGCCCCCTGGATGCCCACACCCCACCCACGCCCAGCAGCACCCACAGCAGCAGCCCCTGGGAGAAGGCCAGTGTCTCAGGGCCAGCCTGAGACCTCTGCCCAAGTCCCCATCTTTGCTGGGGACCCCTATCCTCTGCCTTACAGCTTCCATTCAGGGGTCTCCCATCCCCATACCCAGGGACCTCAGATAACTGCCCTCAGGCCCTGCTCCACCTGCTTCCCTCCTCCTGACAGTAAGCCTGCTGGCTGTCCACAGCCTTCTAGAAAGAGGCCTCCTTCACCAGGTCACAGGACTCTTCGTCTTCCTGTCAGCTGTGGCCTGGATGCGGTTGCAAGGTTCCCAGGGGCCCTACAGTCTTACCTGGAGCATCTCCATCTTTGGTGTTTCCTCTGTCGTGTTTACCTGGTCTTATACTTGCAGGCTGTGGGGGCGGCAAGGCCACTGGGGGTGGCAGCATGGTGGGGTAACCTGGACACTAATCTCCTCGGGGGCGAGAAGCAGACAAGGTCAGGGAGGTGAAGGAGTGGCTCAGTGGTGCACTCCACCCCCCTTCCCCACCCGCTCCCTGAATGGCTCCCACACCAAGAAGCCGAAGACACCCATGGTGAGGCTAACTTTACAGACTCAGTCCCCAGGTGCTAGCGCAGTAGTGTTGGGGACGTAAGAAATACCGTATAGGAAGCCTTAAGCTGTGCCTTCTGCCATGTTGGCCTGCCTCTATCAAGAGGGGAGCCCGGCAGAGGCTGGAGCATGGCCCTTCTGACAACCCTCGAATGGTGAGGGACTGACGCCTCAACCCTGCTCCATCTGCCATAGACTGTCCAAGATCTTAGGAGGGACATGGCTTCAATACTGGATTCTGTACCCAGAGGTGGGGGGTCCGCCGGCAACCAGATGCGCCGCCCCTCCACAGGGGATTCAGCGTGAACCCCACTTCCCTCACACTCAGGGCCCCAGCAGCCAGAATGCCGGAACCGAACCCAGCAAAGAGAGTGGTTTAGGATATTTAACTCTCATTAAGCTCTGTCCCGCAGAAGGCGTGACCCATCCGCCAGCCCACAACCCTGAGTACACTTAACAGGCTCAGTCCCGCCCCTGCAATCGACTAGAGGGATGTGGAATTCGCCCCGACCACGGCTCAGGGGACTGTCCCCAAGATCTGCCCCGCCCCCAAGTGACGGGCGGGGTTCCAGGTCTTAGTCCCGCCCAGTTAGCTTCTAGTCCCTGACTTCCAGGCTCGGGGGGGGGCGTGTCCAGGGCGGGGCTGGTCTGTCTGTCTCAGACGAGCGCGAGCTTTAAGCTGCCATAGTTGGAGTTCTCGGTGCGGTAAGCTTGTGGCACGCTGTAGATGCCTGACACGGGCTTCCAGTGGGGGCCGCCCCAGGGCAGCTCTAGCGGGCAGAAACGGTCGAGCCGGTGGAGTGGGTGCAGCGGGGGTCTGTAGGATTCCTGAGCCAGAGACAGCGCCCCGCGGTGCGGCACAGCTGGCGTCATTAGGCTGATGCGAGGCATGCGGATTTTCGGTGGCCGAGGCAGCCGAGAAGAGTGCGGACAGGGCTGCTGCTTCGGGCCGTGGCCCCAGACCTGGGGCGTCTCCTCGAAGCTCCAGTAGGTCAGCGAGTTCTTGGGAGGGCATCCCGACAACTCCTTCCTGTTGGGGGTTGGGGTGGAGGCAGGATGGGGAGGGCACAGCTGGATTCACGGGATGAGGCTGAGGTTCAGACCTCAGGACCTGAGGAGGCTGTGGAACTCCTGCGTTTCGAGGCGAGGACACATTTGTAGGAATCGGGGACCCTTTAGGAAGCATGGGGATGGGGACTCCTAGCCTGGATTCCTGCATCCTCGAGGTATTTTAAGGGCCTGGAATCTAGGACTTTTGCATCCTTGGAAAGGAGTATCTGGGGACTCAAATACCAAAGGAGGCCTGCCCTAGACCCTCAGAGCCACGCCCCTAGATCCAGAACTCCCTCTTGGGCCCTTTGCAGGCTTCATGGTCCTGAGAGTTGATACTAAGGATACCAGCCCCCCACCCCCGAAAAAAGTAGGGGCTGGGTTCTTGCGCGTGCAGGCTGAAAGCCAAGACTACTGAGTCAGACCGGGGAGCCAACACCAGGTGACTCGGGGTCCCACCAGCCTATGAGGGGGCTGTGCCAAGCGAGAACCAAGGCTCACTTCAAGTAGGCCCGAAAGTCCCGAGCCATCGTGGTCAGATAGGGCTGATGGCGATCCAGGATGCCCTGGTCAGATACTGTGAAAGGCCGGCCGGCCAGTTTGGAATTCTTCGTCCAGGGGATTAGAGCCTGAGGAGGGATGAGCAAGAAAGTTTTCAAACCCCATTCCATGCCCTGTGTCCCAGACTGAGAATTTCTCTTCCTTCGACCTCAACAGCTCTTCTGAACCAGGCCCAGACACCCGCTGCCAGAACCAGAATCCTTCCTGACCAATCGCACGCCAGTGCACTTCAGCATCGCTCCCCAAATCAGAACTCTTACTAGCCTCACCTCCAAAATCCAGATACTTTCTGCCTGTCTTCAAATACAAAGCCAAGCCACCAAAAAGCCTCCCCGGCTCCGTCCCCAGACTCCAACCGTCCAGGTCCCGCCACTGGAATTCAGCGGTGCCTTGGGCAACCATTCCTCCTTACTTCACCCAAACCGGCAAAGCCTAGCCCCGCCTCCAGCCCCAAACGAGTCTCAGAATATTCAAGCTCCGCCCACATGTCCTGTCCGCCGCCTAGCTCAGCCCCGAGCCTCAGAAAGGCCTCCTAGGCCCGCCCCAGGATTTACATGTTGCGCCCCCAGCCTCAGAGCTGGGGTTTCTGGTTTCCAGTCCCCTCTTCCTCGCCTCACCTACAAAGGTCCCAGCCCCTCCCCCAGTGTATATAACCTTCTGATAATGGCCCAGACTCTCTGGCCACACCTCTAGACTTAAAATTCCTTCCGAACCCACCCCAGGGTCTCAGTTGGGTCCCTAGCCTCTAAGACCACCTAACCCCTCCCCGGGAGCTCCAAGTTCTGCCAGACCCCGCCAGCGCGGTCTTCTTCGCTACCTGGGAAGGGCCCCCGCGGTGGTGGTCTGCAAGCTCCAGGGGCTGGGGACCGAGATGGGTGGTGGAGGGCGGCTCCAGGCCGGGCGAGCCGATGTACTGCGCCCTAGTCTCACTGCACTGGTACTTTGTGGTCAGAGGGAGGCGCCAGCCGCTGTGTCTGAGCTGGGGAAGGTGACGCGGGGACCCAAAGTGAGGGTGCACGGGATTCCAGGGCGGTCCCCAGCCCTGTCTCCCATGGATCTGGACATCCCAGAGCCTTACTTTTTCCCCTAAATCCTTGATCCCCACAGTTCGCCTGGGGTCCACAAGATCTGGGGCCTTGGGCTGCGCATAGGGCCCGCCGTGGGTCTTGGGCACATAAGCTGAGCCCGAGGTTGTCTCCCATCTGCTGATGACCTCGTCGAAAGCCCAGATATGCAAATCCTGCTTTGCGGCTGCGGGCAGGGGCTCCGTGACCGTGGACTGGGGAGAAGGTGGGGGACATCAAATGAAAGGACACAGGAATCTGGCCCGCCATCCCTGATCTCTTCCAGTGAGTCCCCAGGCCTTTCCTCCCCTGGCCCCTCTTCTCTCATACCCAAGACTCTGGGACCCTTCTCCTCCAGTCAGACAGGAATTTAAGTCCCTAGTCCCCTTTTCTCTCAGCAGGTGTTTGGATCGCTGGGCCCCTCCTTCAGTCTGGGCCCCGGTTTCCTCTTGGCCTAGAGCCTAAGGTCCTCTCACCTGCACAGTAGGCGGAGGAAAAGGCACGGGCGGGATAAAGCGGTGAGCGACGCCACTGCTGGTGAGATGCCAGTTGGGCCAGAATCCAGGTACCTCAGTCCCAGAGATGGGGGACCAGGGGGGACCATAGCGCAGAGCTAAGTTCGGACCCGCCATGGTCCCATCCCGCCCGGTAGCCTAGCAGAAGCAGGCTTGTTGTTGCTGTTGCCCCAGGTAACAGAACCCGCCCACCCTGAACTCACCCAATGAAGAGGCCTGCAGGCCTGTGGATGGATGGATGAAGTGAGAAAGAGACCCAGGCATGGAGGGACAGGGACTCTGAGAGAGGGGTACAGAAACTCAGAGAAGTGGAGTGAGGGAGACCCAGAGGGAGAGGAGGGCAGAAACGGGGGGAGAGGAGGAAGAAAGAGAAGTTAGAGTTTAGAGAGTTTTGAGACACAGAGACCTGGGGTGGGGGGTGGCATGTAAGAGAGCCAGAAATTGAGGAACAAAAGGGGAGGACTGAGCCACCCAGAGCATCAGGGAATCCTGGAAAAACACCCCCCATCCCTTTAGGGATCCAGTCCTCTTGGCCACCTCCTCCCTCCGCCAGGACAGCCCACCTTCGGGGGGAAGGAGTGGGGGTAACGATTTCCAGACTTCCCTGGGGCTTGCCCGCCCTCCCTGCACGTGCTGGAGGAGTCAGCATCAGCTTCTGTCCTGCCTGCCTTTGATTTGGTTGAAAACTTCCACCTGGGTAGGGGGTGGGCGAAGAGGGAAAGACCCACAGGGAAGTAGACAAAAAAGAGGGGGGTGTGGAAAGAGCTTGGATAAATAAGAAAGAAACACATACAAGAATTCATGTGAGACAGTGAGAAACAGGGACAGAGTGCTACTGACCCAGAGATGACGGGACAGGAATTTGAACAGAAAAGGAAGCAGCAGAAAAGAGAGTGGGAACCACAGACCTAGAACACAGAGATGTAGAAACAAAGGCAAAAGAATGTGTGTGTGTTTGCACGCGTTGGCAACAGGTGTGAGGCTATGGTGTGGTAATAAACAAAGGGGTGTCCTGAGGGTGTGGGTTCTACCCCTGACTTCCCTTGTCACTTCCTCACTTTAAAGCCCTTTTGGTTAATGTCTCTGCCTCCTCAGCCCCCATTAGCTCATCCCACTAACCCATTCTTCAGACAGGGAAAACAGGCTGCCTTCTGCAGCTTGGTTCGGAGTCCCACTGACTCCCTCATTCAGGCTTCTGGGGCCACTTCTTCTGTTGGATTTTCCTGGCTCACTCCAGGCTGACCTATGTCCAAATGACCCCTGATCCCCATGGTCAAAACCGCATGCCCTACTCAGGCTGGACAATGTTGAGATCTGTTTCTTTCAGAGTATAGGATATAGGTTGGGAAAAGAATGGCTCGTAAACTTCCTGACTGCCTTTCAATCAACTTTGCTTGTTCTCTTACTGTGATGCGTGGCTCACTACCTCAACACAGAACATTCTAAGCCAACACTTGCCCCATGTGACCAAGTAAGATGTCTCATTCGAACCCTAGTTCCCAACTACTTGCTTACATGTTCCAGTTTTTATGCTTCTCTTCTTGACATAGCCCTTCCTTGTTATGCTCTCCAGGGTGGGCGAAGTGATGCCCTCTGAAATCACATGGTCATCAACTTAGAAGGTGAGGGCTTTCAATGGTCAAATCCACCAGAGCTGATCTGACAAGTTGTGTATTAGAGCTGATAAACAGTACACACTCAAAATATTGGCTATTATCATCATCATCATCATCATTACCTTCAAGTTCATCCAGAAGAACTCCTATTCATCCTTCAAAACCCCATTTGTTCACCATCTGTCTTGCCCAGATTGAACTCTCAAAAGTCAGAGAGCTGTTATTTTTGTGACCATTTGACAAGTTCCCAAACTGAGGCCACAACAGCTGGGCCACCTCTGAGGTCTTTCAGCAACCAGCTCTCCTCTTCCTCTGCCTCCCCAGTTCCTGGGTAGGGGCCCTCAGGCCCGGCCAGTCCGGCTGAGAAGCGTGCAGACGCAGGCAGTGTCAATTCGAATCCATCGCCAGCCCACACGACCCTGGGCATCAGTGGTCAGTGCCCGCACATAGGACTGCTTGGCCTTACACTCAGACATCCAGTGCCTCCGGTCCACACCCCGGCAGCCCCCTCCATCCCCACCGGGGCCACCTTCCCCAGTGCTGTCAGCCTTGCAGCGGGTTTCGAAGAAGTACTGGCGAAGGGGACTGCCACCAGCTGCAGGCACCTCGCCGAGCACCTCCACCTCACGGCCACGCAGGTCCACGGCAGTCCGGCGGTCTGTCACCCAGCCGCTGACTGCATCACACACAGCCAGCTCTCCCCGGCGACTCGCTGGTGCTGTCTCACTCACCCCTCGCCGACTGCGGTTGGCTGGGCTGCCGGCTGGCTCCCCGAAGGCCCCAGTCTCTAGCAGGAAAAGCAGAGGGGGCCCCGTGGGGGTACCCCTCGACAGAGCTACTCGGGGGGGACAAGAGGTCCCACTCAGGGGCTGGAAATGGGGGCAGTGGTGAGGGTGGGGGGATGGGGCTCCATTGGGACACTGGGGAGGAGGAAAAGTAGGAGGATGGGGAGGGAGCCTGAGGGTGGGGGAGCATCTCGCTGAGCACCTGAGGATAGAGAGAGGGGAGCTGGAGTTAGACAGGAGGATATAACAGAAGGGAGGGACAGAAGGGAACTCCAGGGGGACCTGTGTGCCAGACCCACAGGGAGATCCCTTTCTAGAACCTTGGGGGACACTATATTCTAGGACTTTGATAATGATCAACTTCTACAGTAATCATAATTATTCTACTATTATTACTAACTATAGCCAACAAATGGGGAAATACAGGCTCAGAGAGGTTAGTGACTTGCACCAGGTCACACAGCCAGCAAATGCCAGAGGTGGGGCTTGAACCCAGTCTGAGCAACTCCACTCTGACATCCTGCCTGAACAATACCAATGAACCCTAAGTCCTGCAGCCTGGAGGAGGTTTGAGGTTCCAAAATTCTGAGAAAGGTCATATTCTGGAATCTTAGGGAGACCCACGTTCAACTCAAAACTGCCACTGAGAAGGCAAGACACTTGCTATCAGGTGGGGTGCCAGTTTCCCTGTCCATGAAATTGACCGAGGGCTGAGAGATGCTGGCAGGGGCATGGATATTGCAGATTCTCTAGAACATTCTGGAAGCCTGTGGGTTCTGGAAAAAGGTGGCCTGGAGAGGACTGAGAAGCAACGAGGTGGTTACCAGACCTGTCAGCACCTCCTCCACCTCCGAGCTCCAGGGCTGGGGGCCCCCAGGCTCCGGGGAGCCCCTGTGGGGGACGCAGGACGCCACCTCCTTCCTGACATCTCAGGAGAGGGAGGGGGCAACCACCTAGGGGAAGAAGGGAACAGGCAGGTTAGAGACAGGTGGGGGAGGAGGCCTGAACACTCCCCTTCTCCGTGTTCCTCTTAAAGTGTAGGGTACCAAGAGTCAAGGCTGCACCCCCTACTCCCAGAGGCCCCTGCCCTGCTCAGGTGATGGTTCCTGGATGGAAAGCAGATGGGGGGCAGAGAGGGGAGGGGAGAGGCTGAGGATGGAGGAGGCTGGAAAAGATTACATCCTCCTCAGCTCATTCATCTCTCAGACGGGGTGGGGGTGGGGCTGGCCTGGACACCCGGGTCCCCGAGGGCCCACACTCAAGAAGCCCTGGGTCCCCGAGGCTGCTTCCTGGAATGTTCTCTCCTCACAGGACAGGCCAGGGCCCGTCCAAGACTTCTACTGCACATACCTGGAGTAGCTGCCTGCCCTGGCTGGGAGATGGGGGAATGGGAAGGGGGAAATGTGAAGAGGGACACATGTTGACCCAACCAGAACCAGAAGTGGAGGTTCCCAGCTGCCTCTTCCCTCATATCAGGACTCCTGGTCCCCAGTGGCCTCCCCCTCAGATCAGGAGTCCTGGTCTCCAGCTGCACCCTTCCTTTGGAGTCCAGGCTATCACCCCCTCCTCCCTCAGATCCAAGAGCCCTGGGCCCAGCTGCCTCCTCCTTCAGGAGCCCAGGCTTCCAGCTTCCACCCTCAGATACAG